CCGCATCCTTGGAGGGGCATGGCGCTCGCCGCCTGGAGGGTGCGGGCGGCGGCTGGCCGAGCTGGGAACTGGAAGCTGTCAGAAAGGTAACATGGCCGGCCGGCGCCCCGCCTGCGCTGTCGCCGGGAGGACCGCTGCAGGGGTGGAGCGGGCGGGCGGGCGCGTGGTCTCAAGGGGCGCTGGGTCCCGCGGTGCGTGTCACGGCCCCCACCCGGGCCACTGCGTGTCGCCGCCGGGCTGCGCTGCGGCGGGGCCTGGGGCGCGGGATGGAGCAGCCGGCCTGGCGGGCCCGTGTCCTTGTGCGCGTCCGCGCGCTGCCCCCGCGGCCCAGGCTGGGGACGTCTCGCGCCGCTCGGCCTGCAGTCCCCTGGCCTTGCTCTAATGCGAAACTTGTCGTTGGACTTGAGGGTTTGAACCCCGATGTGCCAGCCATCCTGGTTTTACTACGGCTCGGGGAAGCTCGCGCTACTATTGTTCGTGTGTGTTGTGATGCGAAGGGTGGGAGACTCGCAAACCTCCTACCTCAGGCCAGGTTCCCTGCCTGGCGCTCATCCCTCGGATTTGGAATTGGCGACAGATTTGCTGCCGTGATTTCATGGACTGTTATGTACGGTTTCTTATTTGCTCTTAATGATGGGATCATGTGCTCAACTGTCATAAGTTTAGATCGGGTTTTGCTATGCCCTAAAAAAAAAAAACACCCACTAAAGTTCCAAAATGTTAATGTTTAATATCTGTTCAGTATTCACCGGCTCACCCTGAGAAGGCCACTAACGTGCGGTGGTGGGTGGGGAGGGGCCGCTGTCTCGGGTTTATATTTGGAGCAGTGCAGCGTGGTGAACTTTGTGTGTGTGTGTGTGTGTGTGTGTGTGTGTGTGTGTGTAACGGTTTTGTGAGGGCCGGCAGCCAGAAAGTAAATTCATTCGTGCCAATTTCATCAGCAGGGAGGAGCCGATGTTGACTTTATGCTTTCCTTTTTAACACTTGCAGGGCGCAGAAGGGAATAAAGGAGGGGGCTGTGGCGTGGTGTTAGCTGCCTTTCCCGTGGTCCACGGACTATGTCTCTATATCAGATCTGGGGGTTCTGCAGGGTATCCCAGTGATCTGTAATGTTAAACAGCCCCATAGCAGAAGGAGGCTGCTTCCTGGACTCTGTGCTGCGCAGACACTGTTCCACCTGGTTGAAGATGTGAGGGCGTCGCTAGTACCCCAGAGGGCCCAGAGGCAGGCCATACAGAGTACATACAGGGGGAACACCGTTGAGATGTACAGTGGTGGGTAAAGTGTGTGCTGTGGACAGTGCTCGAGGGGATGAAGTCTGTATTAGAAAACCTTTGCTGGAGTTATTTGATTGTGTCGATGCTCAGATGGGTTTTCTCCCTCACTCGTCAGCCCCTCAGAGCTCTAGTCTGTCATCCTCACCGCTGTTGTATGATTCCCAGCACCCATCACCCATGCATCATCTCAAACAAGCAGTTCTGCTCTGTCTGCATCTCTTCCATCAGGACTCACGGGGAGAGGATTCTTTAAATTAGTTTTCATGGAAATATCGGGAAATATTGTGGAAACACGTGGAATTTTCAGTGCCCAGTTCCTACAGAGGAGGATGGAAAAAACAAGTCCGTTTTAAGTGTCATCACGGTATCTCTGTTAGCAAAGGGGAGCCCCTGAACTCCACAGCACTGCTCACCTCCCCCTGTCAGCCTGGGAAATAAGCGCGTATTTGCCTCTCTGAATCTGGGGCAGTGCTCTGAATGTGCGTCCCGGCCCCCTCCTATGCTGGGAGCGGTCACTCATGGTCCCTTACGAACGTGTACATGGGACACACTGCCCGGCTCGATGGCACTCACCTGCCACCAGCTGTCGCTCTCGGAGGGTGAGTAATATGTTCCTGCTGCCCAGAGGATGGCAAAACCACTTTAGACCAACGTGTGCTCAACCCCATTCTCTGAACAGATTTCATAAAAGGGCTTAATGAATTTCTTATTGAGTGTCTGGGCAGAGAAAGGGATGTGTGTGTTTGCATTCAGGAAGCACATTATTGTTTTTCTTTCTACGTAAACCTTGCTAGGCCTGGCCTGAAGAATGAAAGAATCAGAGGTTTGTGGCATCGGCTGGTGTAGCCTCAGCCCCTCTGTGCCACCCCCACCCCCTTGTCTTGCTTTGTCCCTGCTGAGTTGATAGAGTTGCTCTTTAAGGTCCTTTGGAATTTCAGGTCTTATAAGCACATAAGTGGCTTAAATGAGATGAACCAGTTTGTTTTCCAGTATTGCTTAGGAGAAACCAATGAGTGGAAGGATCAGAAATCTGTATCTCTCTACATTTTGGAACTTAAAAAATGCCCCAGCATACCCGCTTCCACAGTGAAAAGTTAAAACCAGCCTTCGCGCCGAATTACTTAAGTATATTGCTTTCACATTTCCTGTTCCATCAGGACTCATGGGGAGAGGATTCTTTAAATTAGTTTTCATGGAAATATTGGAAAATATTGTGGAAACATGTGGAATTTTCAGTGCTCGGTTCCTACAGAGGAGGATGGAAAAAACAAGTCTGTTTTAAGCACATCACGTCGGTTGAAAAAACAGGGTGGACTATCAAAGTTCTTACGTGGCCTGTGGGCGGTTAATGGTGCTCATTATTGGGATTTGCAGACAGTGGCCCTGCTTTGGTTGCACTGTCTGCTGGGTATTGCTATCGATGCTAATATTATTTTGTTTTGGGGGGCCATTGCCTGCAGAACTCAGGGTACATTCCTGCTCTGCCGGTTGCCTCCTTGTTTCACTCTGCTGTGTGTTACGACCCAGTGCTCCCCTCACTGGGGAAAGCCAGCGCCTTTCCCTTAGAACAGCCTCGTCAGCAGAGAACAGGAGCTGTGGCAGGCGGCCCCGCCTGTGGGTACTAGCAGCTACAGTCGGTGTTGTGGGGCCAGGGATGGTGGGTCTGCTCAAATACTTGGGATTGAATGTGCGACGGGGAGGAAGCCAGCCAGTGAGCGGTCCGCTGCAGGATGCCAGGTGGAGTGGCCGACACCCCTTTTCCTAGATCATTCTTTCTTCCCTTCTTTTGCCTTTTGGGATCTTGCATTTTTCTTCTTGGCTTTAAGAGGGCCCCCAAGTAGTTTCATTAATAAGTGAATAAGCATTTGGCTTAAGGAGTAACTTTAAATGGAAATACCAAAGTAGAGAGGAAACAGAAAACTTCTCAAAGACAGACTTGACTTGTTTAAAACACTCGTTTGTTGATTGAGATTGAGCAGTAAGTTTCTCTGTGAACGGATGATGCTCGTTTCTGGGGCTCTGCGTGCCCTGGACTTGCAGCCACAGGAGGCACTCGCCCCCCTCTTTCAGGAGTGGCTGGGCTCTTCTTTGGTAGAACTAGGGACGTTGCCTTGTGATATAGCCTGCGAAAGATTTGTTGTTTGCACAAGAGACGTCTTTATAAAATATACGGCATGTCAAACCCTTTGTGGCTTTAGTTGTTGGTATAACTACTTACTCCCTACCTTCTGCTTATGGGGGTTACTCAGCTCATGGCCTGCTTGGCTGATTAATATGCCCAGTTACTTTACCTGCTCATTTTATTCCATCATAGAGTCCAACTCGAACATTTTCTTAGTAAGTACGAATCTGCTTGAGGAAGGAGGTGAATGCTAACTGAAATGTCGGCCTTTTGTGCTAGTCAAGGAACCAATAATTTTTTTAAAAAAATTGCAGATGAGCAGCGCACAAGCAGCTGGCACATTCCTGTCGCCAAAGCCTAAGGTCTTCATGAGATGGCATTTGGAAGGTGTGTGGACTTAGGGCAGGGTGGGGAGCGTATGAGGCTGGAGAAATCGTTTGGTATGATGTTTGACCAAATACAGCAGGCTAAATTTTAAGTTGATGTTATAAATATCCAAATGATGTTATAAATATCCAAATGGCCCTTGGCAGAAAAAAGGTTCCCCACCCCTGATGGAGGGGGTGGCATTTCCAGGGCTATTGGGCCCAAGGTAACATATACACTTTGCTCTAAACTCGAATTCTGTCCCCCCACCCACTTTCCAGCCCCTGTTCTTTCTTTGGAGGTCCCTGATGCTACAGAGCTAACAGCTCTGCGGAAGCTTAAAGCGTAGGACCACCTTCCGAGGTCAGTAAGCAAAGACCCAGCTGTCTCTAATGCCACCCAAACTTTGTGTATATTCTCCTCATGGAAAGGAAACAGTTGATTCTGGAAACCAAGTGTGTAAAAAAATCCCCCCCCCCCCCGAGTCTCATTGATAATTTGTTGTAAGTGGGTGAGGAAGAAGGGAAGGGGTCAGCAGAGGGAGGGAAATAGAAGCTGTGGGGGCCCTTGAGCCACTCCAGCTGGAATCAGATCTCAGGATAGTTACAAAATGTGTTTACCCTGTTACATCCATCGCACCCGTAGCCCTAGGTATCGCGGTGAATGAAGTGGAGTACTCGGCCTGATGAATGTAAAATATTGTTACCTGCATTAAAAATATTTATAAGACGGCAGCATTGACATGTGTGGGATGTGAAGTGGGTGGACTTGAATTCTAAGAGTTTTTCAGAGCTATGGAAATCGTTCCGTTTGAAAGTTCTTTTCTCTATGAATTAATATAGGTGCCAAGTTTGGCCAGGAAGCGAGGAAAGTAAACATACACACACATTAAGGCATAGATCTGTAACACTGCTCCAAATGCTTATAGGATATTTGCAGTGCTGTACTCCTGCTTAGATCTGAACTTTATGAGGTTAAAGCCGTAACAACAGCTCTATTTTGTTTTAGACTGGGCCCACGGGTTTTATATTCTTGTTATGGTTTGAGGCTACAAGCTGTTGGATGCTATGAGTCACTTCTTGTCTTCCTCCTCCCAGCCTTCTTCAAATGGCTGTCTCTTTTTTTAGAGTTGATTTTTTAAAAAGCAGTGATTTAGGGGATGAGTAGTAGCATTCTTCTGAATTGCAAAGAGAATGTATCGGATCATCCTGGTTTTGATGTCATGTATATGGACTGACTCACCAGTCCAACTCCTAGTCATATTAGTAAGATCATTTCTAGTTCTTCTCATAATTACTCAGGCACCTTAAAAAAAAAAGCAGATTCTTGGTGCAGTGAGTTGATTTAGTTTTGCACATCAGTATTTATCCTGGGAATCAGGGACGTGTCATCAGCTGTAGCGTGGACAGCGCCTCGTGTGATGTGATTGGTTTCCGGCCACTTTTCATTGAGTTGGTGCTCTCCTCGCCCTCCAGTTTCTCTCTCTGTACACCTACCTCTACTTTCAAGGTTGCTGACTTTATCTTTCTTTTGTGATTTTTTTGGTGTTCCATACAAAGGTTGCCTACTCTTGTTGCCAGTGCTCTTTTCTTTCTGCTAAGAACGTCAAAAACTTGTCACCTCTCAAAAGAAGTAATTGCACCAATTTGTTCCTGATGATAATAAATAGGGATCTCAGAGAGGCGAGGCAAACTGGGGTTCCCAGGTAGAGGCTGGGGTGCAGGAGCCAGTGTGACAAGGAATGGGGTTTCTCACTAATGAGCGTATGGATACTGCCCTTCTGTCTTCAGGTCCCAGTTGGGGTATTCATTTTTAAAAATATATTTTTATTGATTTCAGAGAGGAAGGGAGAAGGAGAGAGAGAGAGAAACATCAGTGATGAGAAGGAATCATTGATTGGCTACCTCCTGCACACCCCCTACTGGGGTTTGAGCCCACAACCCGGGCATGTGCTCTGATCGGGAATCGAACTGAGACCTCCTGGTTCATAGGTTGACGCTCAACCACTGAGGCACACCAGCCGGGCTGGAGTATTCATTTTAATAAGCCTTTGAGACAAATGGAGTGGGAGAATGCTGAGATACTGAGTTGTAAAAGTCAAAATTACATACAACAAGCAGACTTTTTTTGGGGGGGGAGGGAGGGTTTGCTATTTAGTTTTTTGCAATGCTATTGAATTCTGTCTTTTGAATATTCTCTTGATACCCTTGCATAGTAACATGGACTTTCTGTGCTGTGTGAATTACAAATTGAGAGAGTTCTTTACTAACGTGCTTTGCACAGTAGGTATGGAACACGGGAAAAACTATGCAAGCTTGTGAGGAATGGAGGGTCTCTGATTGATAGTAGGTAAAATAGGTCTTTCTCTTCTGGGCTGCTGGTTTTAAATCTTGTTTTTCTTTTGCTTCTTAGGTTGGAACTGTTTCTGTGCCTAATGAAGAGATTAAAGACCATGGGCAGATCTAGCTAGTTGTGTCAGCACCAGAGCCAGGGATTCCTTGCACACCCGTCCACAATCACGCACAATTATTATTATGTTTTTACTGAATTGTTTAGTTAGTCAAGTCATAGATTTTTCTATTTATTAGAGAAAATTTGTAACATTTAAAATAAAAAAACTGCCTGAACATCTCACCTCTTCCATACAGGCTACTTCAGATGCGCAGCCTCAGGCCTCCACCCATGCGTGGGAGGAGGAGGCAGGCCTCCACTGTCTGACTTGCTTCTGGACACTTAGTCCTGCCCAGAGAGACTTTATTCTAAAGTCTCAGGGGTGATTCAGAGTGTGTTCTTGCTGCCATATTTCAGGAGTTCTTACAACAAATAAAGCTTAGGGAGGGAAGAGGCCCTTAATGAACTATGGGGACTTTCCCAGGCGCGTTTGTGGATTAGCTGTGCTTGTTCCCTCGCGTGCACAAGGAGCCTCGTTTCTTGACTCTAACACTCAGGAAAACAGGAGCATCTACTCTGCATCCTGGTTTTATTTCCCGTTCCCCTTTCTCCCCACGCTGAGATTCACTTCCCCATGAGAGGAAGGTGGCACGGATCCCCCCTGACTGACCACCCTCCGAGGAAGGATCAAGAGACGCTTCCTCGACAGATAGATTTTGTAGGTCAGTTTCCTGAAATGAATATGGAAATGGAAGCTGTTATGACTTCACCTTCCTGCACGTTTCTGGGTCTTCATGAGTAAACGCATAGAGCATGGCCAGTTGTGCAGTGTTACCATTACCCAAATGCTGACACAGATGTGGCTTATAAGTCATGATACAAGGATGGCAAGTGTATCTCAGAGCAGTTGCAAAGCCTGATGTTGTCACGGGAAAGGAACAGATGAAACCTCTTAGTTAGCCAAATGCTTTAGGAAGGACAGGTTCACTCAGGAGCCGTCGGTTTGAGGGGCTGGATTATATGACACTAGGAATTTAAGCCCCAAAACACACTTTTCACGTGTGGGTGACCTTCTTCTGTGCTTCTCGCATCTCTGAGTCTTCCTGCTTCCTATTTGGGGAGATTTGTGGGAGGATATTGAGATTTCTCTGGGCTGAAGGTCTGATCTGCTGCAAAGTCTTCCTGCTTTTCATACATCAGAGGGTGTGTCCAGGGCTCTGTTGGCCGCACCACCTACAGCATTGTCTCGGTAAGGGAGCTCGTCCTCCCTGCCTCAGTTTCCTGAGTTGTCAGCTGGGTTGTCACAAGGACCAGAGAGGCAGCGAGTGTCACAGTGCCTGCCTGGGAAATACCACGTCTGCTCTGAGTCTCCTCCAGGTGCTGGGATGAGCCCTTTGTACTTCCTACTCCTAGTGCTCCCCTCCCCCCAGTTTATTCGTAGGATTAGGGGTTACAGTGACTATAAGAGTGGCCTTAGGAGAAAGGAAGTGGGAGAAGGAGTCCTCCCAAGGTGCCGGCAGGGTGTGGGAAGCACTTTTACTTCTTCTGAGAGGACTCACTGCACTTCTTAATAATTGCCTGGCCACCTGGCCACTTACCCTGCACTGGGATAATTTCAGAGCTGCGATGCCTTTTTAAAGATAAAACTTGTTTCTTCCTGGTGGCCTTTTTGAGTCAATAAGCCTGTTACCCCTCCCCCGACCTCCCAACCACCTTTTTTTTTTTTTTTTTAGCTCCTTTGCTTTTCAAGAGAAAAGTAGGGGAAGGATGTCCTAGGTCAGATTCTAGTCCAGGTGCACCTGGGAAGGGTGTCCTAATAATTAGGTTCAGCTGCAGACCACCTTGGCCCTCCAGTGAGAGTTGCTGGAGGAGATGCCTGGGTAGCTTCTGCTGCAGTCCCCCTCCTCTCTCTGCTGACTGACGAGGAAGCACAGCACACCACCAGCTGTGACTCTGACACATCTCCCCCTAGACGTGCGTGGCACGTGGCATCAGTGTGTGTGGAGGGAGGCTAGGCTGACACCTCTTCTCATCATGTCTGATGACGCCTGCACATGGATACGGGCTGCGGCCACAGGTGGAATGACTGGAGCCTGCAGCAGTTCCGAGAGGCCAGGCTACTTCCTGCCGAAGTGGGGAGGGGCAGGGGCGTGACCTGGCAGCATGGCCAGAGGCCCTGTCCCCAGCTTGCCAAACACCTCGGATGTCCTGGGGCTTTGTCCTTACCATCCCTCTGGCAGTCTTCTGCCTTAAGCACCTTTGGGTTTGTGACTGTGAGTGGGATCAACTCTCATAAGCTTCTTCTTTTAAAATAAAAACCAGAGATAGAGTTTTAAGCCTGCCCCCATGTGAACTTAATGGTATTGTAGAAATTATGGCTTCAATTATCCTATATAATAAAAGCATAATATGCAAATCGACTGAACAGAGGAACGACCGGTCGCTATGACACACACTGACCACCAGGGGGCAGGCAGATGCTCAACGCAGGAGCTGCCCCCTGGTGGTCAGTGTGCTCCCACAGGGGGAGCGCTGCTCAGCCAGAAGCTGGACTCACCGCTGGCTAGTGCAGCAGCAGTGGTGGTGGCTGGAGCCTCTCCTGCCTCTGCTGCAGGCGGGCGGTAAGGAGCGAGGGGTCCTGGACTGCGAGAGGGATGTCTGACTGCCAGCTTATCCCCTGAGGGGTCCGGACTGCGAGAGGGCGCAGGCTGTGCTGAGGGCCCCTCCTTTCCCCCTCCCCAGCATGAGTCTCATGCACTGGGCCTCTAGTGCAGTGGTTCTCAACCTTGGCTGCACATTAGAATCACCTGGGAATCTTTTTAAAATCCTGATTTCTGGGCCTCATCCTCTGGAAATTCTGTCTCTTTGTTACTAGATGGTGGCGGCCCACCACTCAGTAACAAAGAAAACAGAATTTCTGGAGGATGAGGCCCAGAAATCAGGATTTTAAAAAGATTCCCAGGTGATTCTAATGTGCAGCCAAGGTTGAGAACCACTGCTCTAGTGTATAATAACTGACAATTTAAGAGTAACATGAAGTAATAAAGTGGAGCTGGACTTTATTCTTAAATGAGCATTATCAGGCTTCAGAAACATCTTTTGTTCTTTTTTGGGCAAATACAATGGATGCTTAAAAGCTGTTGAGATTTAGTAATATAAAGTAATCTTTAAGGATCTATTTAAGCAAGGGTGCGATTCCATTAAACTTAAGTCATTAATATGTGCCCATTTAAAGCCAAGAAAATAATGATCAACTTGCCAGGGTTGAACCTGTTCCTAGTATTACCAATGTGCACTGTAATGGTCCCCTCTGCCCACACGTTCCTGTGGCAGCGCTGTATCAGTGCTGTAAAAGTAAGACGTGTGGTGGGTGGGTCTTATTATTTCATTTTGCTCAGTTCCAGTGAACATAATCTTATTGCAGTGGCTGGGCTTCCTCCACCGACCACAGCATTGACGTTCACGGGGCCAAATGGGAAATAGCACCTGGGGCTGCTTTGCCTCTGATACCAGAGTCCAGACGTGGAGCGTTCTTTCCCTCTTAGTTGCTTGTACACAAATTAACGTGAAAAGGAAGTAGAATGCGCTTTTCTTTTCCCCTCCCTCTGTAGATGGTGATGAGTTATTATTTAGATCTCATGCTAGAGAGGGATGTACAGTGCCTGCTGGTGTTTTGGAATTCCCTGTTCTTAGGACGGTCTGGCCCTGGACACAGGGCAGGAAGCAGCCTTGATTTTGTTTGTTTCCTTGATGACTTGCGTAGTGTTTGACACAAGTAGGGTTCTGGATGGAATGCGCTCTCGTTAGAAAGTGTGTCAGCAAAACGGGGGCTTTCAGAGAGTGTTCTGTGTCCCGTGACTATAGGAGAGCGAGGCCTTGGGGAAGGAAGGTGGGCGGAGGGTGGCAGGGGTGGGGGCCCCTTGGTGGCCCTGCCATTTGGCGGGGGGTGGAGGTTGCTGGTGGAGAACGCTCCCCAGGGATAGGAAGCTCACACACAGGGCTGACTGCGTCAGTGGGACCACGGGGCAGTTTTGATAACTGTGACTGATTCTTGAGAAACGTGGGGCGGGGAGTGGTACTTGGAACACCAGCGTTCCGTGAGACTGAGATGTAAAATGAACCTTACAATTGCATGGTGCCTTGTAGCTTTCCTGTTGATCTTTTTTTAGTCCTCTGAAAGTATTTTCTAAGGAAAGGATGTTCTCTTCTCTGTGCAGACGAGGAGGCTGAGTTTCACATGGTTAGAAAGCCATCATGAGCATTAGAACCGTCACATGGTTAGAAAGCCATCATGAGCATTAGAACCGTGGTTTCCTGACACAGTGCAGTGTCCTGGGTGAGCTGGCCGACCTTAGGGCTTGGGAGAGGCGTGTTTTCTTTTGATCAAGGATTGGGGGATCCAGGCTTCTCCTCTGAGACCAGCCCACGGAGCTCTGCGCCAGCTGTGGGTACCCTGGAAAGGGGAAGCAGTGGCAGCCCCCTCCTCAGCCATCTGGCCCTACCTCGAGCAGCAAGTCAGTGAGGAAAATGCTGGCTTTTTCTTCTACTTGGTTGTAGAGGGATGGAGGCTTCTGCGGCACATTTTCTTAGCTGGCTGCCTCTAGGACTTTGCATTTAAAATCTGTCTGTCCTCTCGGGGTGGGTCCATGGGTGTTCACTGTACCGCTCCTCGCGTTTTTTTTCTGAATGCTTGAAAATTTCCTGTGTTTCTCCTGGAAGATAAAACATAAGAAACGCAACCCCTTGAGCTAACTTTTCTGGATGGCAACCTTTAGAATCAGGAAGCCGGATATGGTACGGTTCTATCAGAAATCTCGATCGTTTTGGTCAAGAGACAATGCTGTTAATTCTTGGTTGTGTTGTTTCTGGGAAAAATATTCTGAATGAGTTTCCAGTAATAACCTCTTCAGCATCTCTACCAGAAAAGAGTGGCCTTTCTCAAAGCTTCCCTATTACACTAACCAAGGGTGATGGTGATCACCTTTAAGCGGCCACTCATCACTCATAGGCAATCGATTTTTATGTGGATGTGGAGTGCTTTTATAAGCGAAGTGCCCGTTCTGATCTTCTCCAGCTCCTGCAGGGATGGGCCCACATCTGATGCACCTGAACCATGCTTGTCTCTGGTCCCCAGAGAACTGGCCTGGTGTCTGTAGGAATGCGTGGTGCCTAACGTGGACCTCTGAATCAGACGCTGCAAGCACTGGTAGACATCTGTGAACAAAGTCTGTTCTCTCTATG